TCGTACTCCGGCAAGGTGAGTATGTACGATTTATCATCAAGATACAAAAAGTATGTAGTGTTAAACTGAACTCAAAGCCAACTCAGTTGACATTGAAAATGTCTCGTAGGCAGACCTTTGCTTAGCACAAGTAGTGCAAAACCAGCTTACGTTCAAGAGCAAGGGCCCAGGACACAGCCCAGTGCAATCATTATTTTACAGTGTGTTAGAGTGGAAATAAACTACTTCTGAGTAAATATGCAAGATAATCATAGGTAATTAATTTATGGAAATGATAGCAGAATGATCCTTTTACTTGATGTCTGACATCTGAAATACAAGCTATTTCTAGGTGTCTCACCTGATTTTCTTTCCTTTAGTACCTAGTCCTTAGCTGTTGTTGCTGGTGTTTCTAGTCACGCGCTTGTCCTTTTTGTTGCCCTTGTGCACAGTCAGGCTCTCGATATCCTCCGCTTTGTTCAGGACCAGGCCAGCAGGGATGCTCTCAAGGGTTTGGGACACCAGGAATCTGCCATGGGAAGCATCACGTCTGCCTCCAGTGAAGGAGAGAGCCGGAGCCTCACGCATGGCTTGGATGATCTCATCACGGCTGTAGGATGGCTGGATCCTGGCATACCACTTATCCCTCGAGTCCCTAGCCAGGATGATCCCATTTTTAGTGTGATAGTTCACTACGTGATCATTGTCTCGCTTCATGTCGGACAGTACTTTGACCTGCCTGGCACGCCTATCAGTTAGGTTTTCATGGATGACTGCACTAGCGCCCTCAGTCTGGTTGAATTTTGCTTGGTACACCTTCTCCCTGTCGTCCATGTCCTGAAACTTTACAATGACTCTTTTTTTTGTTCTTCAGGCGATGGCATGCCACAACTCCACCTTTGGCATCTACTTTAAGTTTCTCTTTCATCACACCCAGTGCCATGGCTCTAGTCTCCTCAGTTGTTTCATCCTTTTTCGGTTCAGGGATGGCATCCCCACGGTTCAGGGATGGCATCCCCACTCAAGATCAGACACGACTTCCTAGAATACTGTTCCACCTCGTCCACAGAGTCCTCCAGAATTTTGACTGCCTTACGAAGATGAAGATTTTCTTTTTTGAGTTGCTCAGTCTCAGCTTTAAGTTCAGTGATTTGCTTTTTAACACCTTCCAGCTCCTTACCAACGGCCGCAGCCACTTATAGAGCTTTTATCTCCTCAGGTCCCATCTCCCTCTATGAGCCCAGAAAATCAGTTAACTAGAAAAGGAAAACGAACTGAATCAAAAACGACCAACAAAATATTATAAATGAAGTGAAAAACTACTAGTAACTACTCAAAAAAGCACAAAAAAACACCAAAAGCACCCAAGCACAAAACGCGCAGTAACCGCCGCCGCAGCTAACGCCTCCGAACTCGACCAAGGCCAGGAACGAAGTGAAATGGCGTTTACGGCATGTTTGTATGTCTATTCTGTGATTTTATATGATTTTTTTAACATATGCCGTTTTTGGTCGAAAACTCAAAAATCATGACGTCACTAAAACCTCGATATTTCAAAAATTTTCCGACCGATTTTTTTGAAACTTTGTCACAATAAACTTCAATCAATTCCCTACAGGAACCCCAAATTTTATGCGCCGTTTTTATGCTATGGCCCGGCGAAAAAGTGGGGGCATTTAACGCCCCCTCCCCCCACCAGCAACTCGCGGGTTAAGGTCAACGGCTTAGCATGTAGATAACAACAACTGCCACCATCGTGATTATGAGAAAACCAATTCCTTTTCTACAAACACTTAAAAGTTTTTAGCCTAACCCTCGCCGGCACAGGGGGGGGGGGGGTTGATGCAACCCCCCCTAAGGTTTTTCGCGAATAACTCGTGTAAAAAGCGGCCGATCGCGACGAAACTTTCAGTACCCTCGCATTAATCAATTTTACACCTACCCTGAAAATTTCATGACCCTGACCCAAATGACCTTTGACCTGTGACCTCTTCCGAGACCATGGACTCGTTTCATAAAGCGAGTCTGTAACTTACGGCGGTTTTTGGTCTTGTATTGCAAGTGCATGTGAAGCGATAAATTTATTTCCCCCCTCTCCCTTCTGTTCTTGCTTACAAGATAAATAAATTCAACGATTCAAACTATCGTCACCGCTTCACATGCACTTGCAATTCAAGACCAAAAACGGACGTAAGTTACGGACTCGCTTTATGAAACGAGGCCCATGTTTGGCCGGAATCGCGATTCGGCGTATGTCGGCTCGCATTAGCCGCGCGTTTGCAAGCTTTTCGTGGTTTCAAACGTTCAAACATGTGATTTTATGTTGCTCCCATACATAAGGGTGTGTTTCAAGGTCATCTGAAGGTCACGTCAGGTCATTGACCTTTGGTGACCTTGGGTGACCTCGGTTCACTTTTTCGAGTTTTACATGTTTCTAGGCTAAAACACTTGTTTATTAATAATTTCGAGCACAGCTCTTCATCAGAATACAAAGCTAAAAATGTCACGATAAAAATCCAATCTTTATAAGATTGGATTTTTATCGTGACATTTTTAGCTTTGTATTCTGATGAAGAGCTGTGCTCGAAATTATTAATAAACAAGTGTTTTGATCTAACTTTTTCAAACTACGAGGGTAAGGTCATTAACCATTAATCAAAATGCTTTAATATGATCCTCGCACAAGCACTGAGAAACTTAAAGAACATGTTTCTAGGCTAGTTTTTGGAGCTGAATTCGAATTTAGCAACCATTTGAACATTTATGAAGAAGTTTGGTGCCTTTGTAACATGTTACGAGGCTAGGTCAAGGTCATCCGGAGGTAAAAAAGTCACCATTCCCAAAACATGTATGTCAACCGCGCGACGCATAGTTTATGGTCAATTTCCTCCATATATTTCAGTGATCGTAGTTTTGACATTTGACCCCAAGACAAGACTAAGAAAAGTTCAACAAAGGTCAAATATTCGATCGTGCCTCGATTATATATAAAAATAACGAGGTCAGGATCCGCGCCCGCCATCATCACTGCTCCTTGTTCGTTGTACGCTTTACCCGGCTACTGACATGTAAGTCCCGCACCAATCAGTCTCCACCGGTTAGGGTGAAGTCGTATAAGAGTACGCACTTAGTGGATTTCTTGCTCTCATTTGTTTAATATTTGAAAGAAAGAAATCGCAAATAGGGAATATTAAAGTTCATTGAATTAGCCATCATCCCATGGGGCAACGATCCTTCAGCGTAAATGGAAGTGGTCTAAAACTGACATTTTCTGAACCGCTGCAGTTGCGTACTCTTACCATATGGGGTGTGTAAGAGTACGCACGCCAGGCGGGTGGAGTACGCAAGCATATGAACACACACCTATGTAGCTTGTACTGTCCAAATGCTTAACTTCAAACTCAGAGGGCATTTAAGTTAATTCTAGTATCCAAAAAGAAAAACATAAAATAAATCTTTCAAGTCTATAAATCAGTAAATAATCATGTCGTGTGTTTCTTTAAAAACATGCACAATCAAAAGGGAGAATAACTCGTATTTGGAAGAATTTCGGGTACGCATCTGCATCACAGTGCTCCATTGATGATATACCTACAAAACAAACGTCATTGAGCGATAGATTAATAATTGTATATTTCTGTATATTCGATTTAATGTATAATTCTGCGTACTCTTACCCTCCTGAACAGTGCGTCCTCTTAGCGTACATGCAATTCGCGCACAAAACAACCCCGAAACGTTGTGCAAAACTTCGCAAACAGAATATTGCACTGCACAGTATTTCCCCAGATAACCTCACAAGTTTCCCACAACAATCGCGGAAATGTACCTTATCTGAACTGCCAAGTATCAACATTATTGTACCATACCATAATACTATCAACGCTCGAAAATAGTATTCATCGCCTTAAACTCAACAGCGTCGCCGCTCAACGCCCACGTTCCGTTGGTGACAAGCACGCACTGGCGGCTTCATGTCACTTCATGAACTCGACAAACCCGCGTTGCTAAGCAACTGAAACAGCTGATGCGTACTCTTATCGCCCGCGTACTCTTACCCGCCCTTACCCTACTGTCGACGGCAGGTCTCCAACCTCCAATGCGATTTGTTGCGACGAAACAACTGTTTTAGTTTAGTGGCCGCAAACTGCGTAGCGAATGTAACTTGTGCGACGTACTTCGGAGGTGTCACCTTTCGTCCAGCGAAGCCAACAAGGGAAGGCAGAAGCACACCCCGGGGTGCTGGCAGAAGGAGGGGAGGATTAGCGACGAGACGACGTACGTGTGCGGTGATACGCATTGTGCTAGTGGTCTAATCATCGCTCACGAGTCCAGCCGAGTGCTCTGTGCCGTGCACGATGCCGCGAGGAAGAGGTAGAGCGAGCTCTGGTCCCGCACCCAGCCCGTCACGATCTCAGAGCCTCTCAGCTCAAGCGATACAACGCCTGCTCCAGGAAGCTGAGAATAGCGACCTCAGCGACCTCGAGGAAGAGCGATCAGCATCAGAAGATGAAGAGGAGGCAATTTTGCCGAACATCGGGGTCGCTCAATCCGACGTCCAGGAGGCGGCAGAATCAGAATCGGATGCGGAATCTGACGATGCTGGTCGGGCAGCTAGTCAGCCGACTACGCTCGTCCAACAAGACCAAGAGCCCGCTGTCTGTGTTGCCAAGACCGACAGGCAGTGGACGCAAGAGCCTCCCAATCATCGCGTCTGAGCCTCACGGGCCAATGTCATGCGTGAAAGGCCGGGCCCGAAGGGAGCTGCACGACACGTCTCTACCCCAGCTGAGGCATTCAACTTGTTCTTGCCGGACACTATCTTGGAGGTGATCAAACACACAAATGAAGAAGGGGAAAGGGTGGCCAGAGCTAGCGACATCGCTCACATCCCGGTCACTCGTGAGGAAATACTAGCTTTCCTGGGTCTGCTGATCCTCCGCGGGAGCGAATGTGACAGACGGTGTGAGATCCGAGAGCTGTTCTACGGGCCCTTCTCTCGACCTTTCTACCGGGCGACCATGACAGTAAACCGCTTCAAACATCTTCTCCGTGTTCTGCGGTTCGACGACCGTGAGACGCGTGAAGAAAGAAAAAAAGTCGACAAGTTCGCCGCAATCAGAGAACTGTTCGAGGAGTTCAACAAGCTCCTCCGGGTGTACTTTTCACCATCGGAGTGTGTTACTGTTGATGAAACCCTCCGGAGCTTCCGAGGTCGCTGTGGATTTATTTGCTACATGCCGAACAAACCATGTAAATATGGCATCTTGATTCGTGACGTGGCAGATGCAAACAGCCGCTATATGCTCGGCATGCTGCCCTACACTGGGAAGGCGGACCAGCCTGACCCGACGTTTCACATCACTGGAGCTGCCAACATCGTGAAACATCTGGTGGAGCCCTATGCAAACAGTGGGCGCAACGTGACAGTTGACCGGCTGTATACATCAGTGGAACTGGCGGAAGAACTGCTCCAGAAAAATCTGACATATGTCGGGACCATCATGACGAACAGGTGTCATCTTCCAGAGGAAGCCAAATCAGTCGTCGGCAGACAGGAACACTCCAGCCAATTTTACTGGTCTGATGGCGTCATGGTGATGTCGTACGCGAAGAACAAGAAGAAAAACGTCCTGCTGCTGTCAACGCAGCACTGCGAGCCACTGATCACAGCAGACCAGAAGAAGAAACCTGAAGTCATGATCTATTACAATCAGACGAAAGGCGGGATCGACAGTATCGATCAAATGTTGGAGACCTACACCTGCCGAATGTCAACCCGCAGGTGGCCCGTGGTGGTGTTCCTGCTCATGCTGGACGTCGCCGCGCTGAACGGATGGGTGATCCTGAGCCAGGGACCAAGCGCTAAGTTCGGCGACCAGAAGCACGGAGGGAGAAGGGCCTTCCTACGTGAACTGGGACTGAGCCTCATCAAGCCACATATGCAACTCCGGCCGCCGGAAGGCATGGTTGCAGCAACGAAGATGGCGGTGGAGACAGTGCTGAAGACCAAGCTGAGACAACCGGACGTCACTCCACGAGAGGTGCCAGACACCGTGCGGGCTCGGTGTCATGTGTGCGTGGCGGAGCAGCACGGTGCTGGCTACAAAAAAGCCAGGCACAGGAGTGTAAACAAAGTGAAGCAGCGCTGCTCTCGCTGCAAGAGGGCGGTGTGCCAGAAGCACGGGAAGAGTGCCGGCATCATGTGTGTGCCGTGCAGCGCCGCCCCTGCTGGCACGGGGCTGGAGTAGGATGATGGCGCGGCGCCGAATGAAGGTAAGCGGCTGGAGTGCAACTTTTGTGCAACTAGAGGCTTCAATAGGAAGCAACTTTTCGCCTGGATTGTTAGCTTGTGATCTCACAAAGTTCGTAGTTTGTGAGATAACGTGTTGTGACCTGAGACGACGCTCAGAAGCGCTTGTAGTGCTAAATCGTTTTTAGCCTGTCTCTGAAGTGTGATTGTTTGATGTTCATAACTTGACTATCACTCCGCTCACCAGTGCCTGAAACGGACACGTTTGTTGGTGTGTAGAACATAAATACATCTGTCGTCGTTTTCTTCTTGCTTTATTTGATCACAATAGTTAGGAAGCCAAATCTTATCTTGCCACTGCCGACATGTTGGTTACTGACGTCTTACGTGAATAATTCGGGTAACATGCAGCATAATTGATGTTAGGAAACGTAGCCGATATAACCAAGCGTAAAGATGTAACTGGTTTTACATGGGTGACATATTATGTACCTATACTTGACTCCGAAAAACTAGATGCAAACGGATAACATATTTGAAATCAGCGCAAAAAATATCTACACGTCTAAAAAAAGCCGCCTCTGAGGTCATCCGAGGTCAATGACCTATGATGACCTCAGGTGACTTCTTACGCATCTTTTCTCGACTCCGAACGATTTTGGATGCAAACGGTCACTGACCTATCATGACATCGGCTGACCTTTTTTTACATTTATACTGATCTCTGTATACTCTTGGATGTTCATATCTATTCAGTTCATATTCATATCTATTTCAGGCTAATAACCACGTGGTAAATGCTATGCCGTCCAATTTCACGATCAGAGGTCACGTGAGGTCACGTCACGTCTCAAATTATGTTTTGTCAAAAACATGTTTATTGGTCCTGGTCGACTCCTCAGGTTCAATTGAGTCTTTGTTATTGATATTGTGCCCCTTCCCCAGTAACTTTACGCTCTACACGCCTTTGAAACAAAAACATTGCTAATTTTCACCTAGTTCAGGTCATTGACCTGACCTGGAAGGTCAACCGATGACCTAGGACCTTAACCCGGCAGTTGCTGGGGTATTTCGCCACCCACCGTTTGCTGGGGGGGGGCGTTAAACGCCCCCAGCCGATAACTCGAGAACCAATAGGCGCAGCGAAACGCACGAGGCGGCAAACGAAAGAACGCGACGAGACGCTTCAGATGAGTACTTTAAAGTTGAATTTTGAGGTCACAGGTCGGGTCAAGGTCAGGTCAAACACCTGAAATCGGGCTTTCAGTAGCATGGACTTCAGGACTTCGTAATGGGCGCCTCTCGTCATAAACTCTGTCAAAACGGTGCACAATCCATCATATAAGGCCTACAAGAGTTTCAGCTCCATGTAGGGGTCAGTCAAGCATAGGTCAGGGTCAAGGTCAGGTCAACCGGGTAGGTAAATATTCCCGAAAATCAAAACTGATATTCGCAGCCTGTGACACATGTTTTATGGGTAATTTAGGGCGTAGAACACCATGGTGACATTCGTTTTATCATATATGTACGTGTTTGGCTCAAAAAGTTCAATTTAAGAAATGCATGTATCATGGTCGTAAAGTAGTCACGAGAAATTGCCAAGATTCAGTTCAAGATTTTGGAAAATGCGGAACGATAATCAATAATCGAAGATAGCCATTTGATTGTTCAACGTATTGGCAGTCTAATGGCGTTTACGGCATGTCTGTATGTCTATTCTGTGATTTTATATGATTTTTTGAACATATGCCGTTTTTGGTCGAAAACTCAGAAATCATGACGTCACTAAAACCTCGATATCTCAAAAATTTTCCGACCGATTTTTTTGAAACTTTGTCACAATACACTTCATTCAATTCCCTACAGGTACCCAAAATTTGGCGCGCCTGCGGCGCGCCGTTTTTATGCTATGGCCCGGCGAAAAAAGTGGGGGCGTTTAACGCCCCCCCCCCAGCAACTCGCGGGTTAAAATTGGGTATCATCGGCTTCCTCTCGTGACGGGCAACACGCTCGTTTTTTCCGCGAAGCTCTAGCTCAATCAGGGGCCAAACGCGAGGGGGGGTCGCACCAACCCCCCCCCCCCCCCTGTGCCGTCGAAGGACGCAAAATGGCCTGTGCCGGCGAGGGTTAAAACTTGCATGAAATAAATTTTACCAGCCTCGTGTTTTGATTCTTCTGGGGCATTCCACGATAGATCGTACCACTTTTTTCCAATTTGACACCCTCATCTCTCGGAATTTGACGAAAATTGGTCTCAGGGGTAATCAGGGGCTCTGAATCTACCTGTAACAATTTCAGGCTTATCAGATAAGTATTTTTTGAGTTATGGCGTATAACATTTTTTGGATCTTGCTTTGCAGCGCTAAGCTTGGCGGGCTGTAACTCTAAGACGGATTATTCAAATGCCAAATGTTAGATAACGTTGAACTTGCAATGAAACAGAGATTAACCCTCGCCCGTATAGGGGGGGGTCGAACTGACCCCCCCCCATGGTTTTTCGCGAATAACTCGCGTAAAAAGCGGCCGATCGCGACGAAACTTTCAGTACCCTCGCGTTGATCAATTTTACACCTACCCTGAAAATTTTATGACCCTGACCCCAATGACCTTTGACCTGTGACCTACTTTTCGAGACCATGTTTGGCCGGAATCGCGATTCGGCGTATGTCGGCTCGCATTAGCCGCGCGTTTGCAGTCTTTTCGTGGTTTCAAGCGTTCAAACATGTGATATGATGTTGCCCCCATGCGTTAGGGTGGGTGTCAAGGTCACCTGAAGGTCAGGTCAGGTCATTGACCTTTGGTGACCTCGGTTCACTTTTCGAGTTTTACATGTTTCTAGGCCAGTATTTGGAGCTGAATTCGAATTTAGTAACCATATGAACGTTTACGAAGTAGTTTTGGTACCTTCGTAACATGTTACGAAGCTGTCAGAGGCGGTTGACACCTACCAGGAATACCCGGCAGGACCCCTACTGGTTGACCTGACCTGACCTGACCCGACCTGGACTAAATGCATAAAGACATCATCTGTGATCAAAACTAACATGATATTCGTGATCGGCGCCCCGAAAAACCCCATAGCAGCCACACTTTACGACGTTCTAACAGGTCCCGATTTTCCCGACTTTTGGGTCATTGACCTGACCTGCAAGGTCAACCAATGACCTAGGACCTTAAAATTAGGTATCATCGGCTTCCTCTCGTCACGGGCAACACGCTGGTTTTTTCCGCGAAGCTCTAGCTCGATCAGGGGCGAAACGGCAAGGGGGGGTCCAACGGACCCTCCCCCTTATACGTTCGCGGGTGGAAAAACACCAATACGGGCGAGGGTTAATATGTATTTTTGAAATTTCGAAAAATACGCTATTTTTGATAAATGACATATCGAGTTTTCTTTCATTTGTATTTTTTAGACTTTGGGACCAAATTTTTTTTAATTTTTATTTAAAAAAATGTTTAGCTCATTGTTAAGAAGTGTGCAAAAAATTAGGAAGGTGTTCTTTTTAGAAATGTATTTATTTTACGTCACAATAACGGTTTCGAATAGTGATTTTGGGAGGGGAGCTTACAAATGGCGTGGTAAAGCTGCTTAGTGACATCACGGGTTACTGAAATTTCAATTGAAGTCTTAGTCATCTGAAAAAAATGAAAAGAGGGTTCATCCAACCCTCTTTCCTATAAGCGCGAGAGTGAAAAAGGCTGTTTGGTTCTGACATTGTTTTGGATGCCAATGACCATAGCTGTCCGAGATAAAAGTTACAGGACGCATACATGGTGTCCTCCAGAGGTCTCACAACTTATATATCTGGGAATTTTTGAAGGTCACATGAGTCACGTGACATCACTGTTGTAAGTCAATGGGGAAATATAAAATCTGTTATTTTGGCGCCGATAATGATCTAAAACTATCTCACATACATGGTATCGTGATTTCATGCACTCCTTGCAAAGTCTAATGCTTTACTTTTGCATTTTTAACCTTGCGTGACGTCATTTATGACGTCACTAGGGTCGTACGAGTTTTTCGTCAATAACTCCCGATCAAATTGAGCTAGAGAGTCGGGAAAGCCACCAATGGACTCGGGAAGACCTTCCGAATCGATTGATATGCCATATGATACCCTTTGCCCAGCTTCGTGACCTGAGGGGCTCTGACCTGACCTTGACCCGAGGTCAACTACTTAAGTTGACCTCACCCTAACAAAAAGTATACCATTCGACGCACCTGAGCTAGGCGAACACAATGATGCCAAAATCGCTGCTCTGCGGCCATTTTTGCGAAGTTATTTACTAAAAACCGAACCCGTAACTTCAGTCACTTGACCTGACCTCAGACGCTACCGGTTAACCTGAGACCTTAAAATTGGGTACCAATCGCTGCGACTTGCAACGGCACACACGTTCGTTTTTTTCCGCGAGGCTCTACCTCTATTAGAAGCAAAACGGCGTGCTGGGGTCGTATCAACCCCTCCGAAACCCATTTTGTTTGCGGGAAAATGAGGAACTTATAGAAAGAAGACCTTTCTAATTTTTTGCATGTCGATTTGCAATGACATGAAATTTATTTTGAAAAAATAAAAATGTGAAAAATTTTGGTCCCAAAAGTCATTAGAGGCAAATGAAAAAAAGATTAAGGTTTTTGTTCAACAATCAAAATTTTTCTTTAGAATTTTTAAAAAGTAATATCAATTTTTGGTTCATCGCAAGCTTAGTGTTGTTTCCCGTTTGTTGGTTGCATAACCCGTTCTTGAGTTATAGGCCATCAAACTCACCGTTACAAACCGAAGTTAAAAAAATGTAATGCAATATAACTCAAAAAGTTTTCATCTGAGAAGTCTGATATTTTGCCAGGCGTCTTTGGGGCCTATGATTACCCCTAGGACCGATTTTCATTAAAATCTGAGAGATGAGGGTGACGGGCCTGGTACGATCTATCGTGGAATGCCCCTTCTATCAAAACCTATTATCAAAACGCTTCGAATGAATCAAAAGTTGATC